GCTCCCCTTGGCTGCCTTCTAACACATTTTGCCTCATTGCCAACCTGGTTCCCACGATCCCCATCACAGCGGAGCTACGGTGTTTCTCCCCGGGGATGCATTTCTTCCTTGAAGGTGCAGTGCCTTCGGGGAACCTGTCCCTTGGAGAGGCTTGGAAACCCTTGGTCCGCCCTGAACGGCACCCAGGCTCTGCACTTACAGAGATGGCCACCAGAGGGCGGTGTTGGTCTGCGTTTCTCCAGCCGCCAGCTGCACCGGAAGCCAAAGAGCAGCAGAGATTGTACCAACCCTGGCTTCAGCCTGGCTAACAGCTGGGCCTGCCCAGAAGCCCACACTCGGTGACAGGAAAGCCAGCCCCGTGGCAAGCCCCAGAGTCCTGAGACAGCTGTCCCGAACCCTGCCCAGGCGGAGAGGAGGCTCATCGCTATTCAGAGAAGGAAATATTTGTGGGCAGTAGGTAGAACACCTGTGATGTCTTATCCCTATTTCAAGATCAGGAAACTGTGGCACAGAGTTAGAAGCCGGCTCATCCCAAATCCCCGGATTCCCCACCCCAGCCTATCTCCATCCTGCCAGGCTCCCGGAACCCTGAACTCACACGGTCTTTGTGTTTTATGTGGAGAAAGGATAAGAACCCGAGAAGCTGCCCGCTGGCCCTGTGATCAGCAGTGGCCGCCTGCCTTCTCTGTCCCTGGTTCTTTGCCCTCCCCTGCCTGTTCCCCAAACAATCCCCCACCTCTTAAAAGTCAAGGCCAGCGGCCGTGACCCTGGACCGCCACCGTCTGGGTGGGGGGGCCGGGCATTCACCCCAGGCTGGGCTCCAGGACCCGCAGTGCACATGCTGGGCACCCAGAGGGGGCAGGACTTCCCTCTTCCCCAGGCCTCGCCCCAGGGGGAGGACTTTCTCCAGGTCAGAGCGTTGGTGGAGGAGGACAGACTTCTCCTGCCCGGAGCCACCCCCTGTCAGTTCCTGTCCCTGGACCCAGCCTTTGTCCTCATCGTCCTTGCCACCCCTTGCTGCCTGACCCTGCTCTCTGCACTTTCCATGTCACGTCACGCGTCCCCGCAGAATCCACGAGCCAGGCTCCGGTGCAGCTCCATTTACCAGATGAGCAGACGGAGGCCTGTGCGACAGGAAACAGGACCACGATCACGGGCCGCCGGAGAGCAAGGCAGGGGTGGGAGCCCCGCCCGCCCACCAGAGCCCGCGGCTCCTGTCCTGGTCCTGCCGCAGCAGCACTGCAGGCTCAGACTGGAGGTCCTTCTCACCCGGGCGGCCCCCGAGCTGGGCTGCGAACCGCCGCCCGGCAGCCCCTCAGGGGGCTCAGCCCCCGCTGCCCAACTTTTGCTTTTGCCCCTGACGCTGGGCAGGGCACCTGTCCTCAGATTCAGAGTCCCCCTCCTGGGACATTTCGAAAAGCCTAGAATAGTTCCATCCACAAAAGGACCCTGGTTTATAGAGCTATTTCACCTTTTCCTGGAGGCCCTGGGCTGCTCGGGGGGGCCCCAGGGCCTGCAACCCCCGACCTTCTGGGGTAAGGACAGGCTGCAACTATTCCCAGCCCAAGGACTGCAGTGTGCTCATGCACCTTGGGAAGGGCCTCTGGGGGCGCTTGCACCCCTGGCCTGGAGTCCTGACCCTGTGGCAAGGGACCGGGGGTGCAGGCGGCATGGTTCACAGCCACTGGACTCCGGGGGGAGAATCCAGGCCTGGGCGGGGCAGGGAGACTCGGATGAGCATCCCTCAGAAAACGCTTCTAAGAAAGGTCACCCCAGCAACGGCAGGGTGGAGCAGGAGGTGGGAGCCAGGCCCTGACCCAGATCAGCCGTGGCCCCGTCACGTGACTCGGGGCCTCTGAGCGCCAGCTGCGGATGGGAGGGTCCGTCTGTACAGGGTTCTGCAGATGTCCCTCCTGCCTGCCTTCGCTGTGACCGGCTGCCACAGCTCCCCTGCCTGCAGGCTGCGGACGGGAACAGTGACATTCAAGCTCGGGGATGATGACACCTCTCAAACGTGTATCGACTATTCTACCACAATCAATGGTCGCTGAGCGCGCTGTGTGCTCCGTGCGAAATGATTGACATCCATGACGTTGGTTCCCTTGGCGACTGCCGGCAGCCACCATGTGAATTAGGTGGGATCACCCCCATTTTCACCTGAGAAAACAAGCCAACAGAGGTCAATCCCGTGTCAAGGTTCACGCAGTTATTCAGCAGCAAAGCTGGGATTAGAACCCGGGTCCTCCTGACCTCAGACCCCCTCCCCTCTGTGCCCTACTCCAGTGCCTCTTGCTGGCCTTTTCCACTGAATCCCAAGAGCCAATTACCTGCATGTCTCGAATCATTTAAATCAGGAATTATAGAGAGACAACAATAACAAAAATCACATCCAAATTTTCCATGCAGAAGTCATAACTGACAGTTTGGGATTTTTCTTTACATATTTCATACACATGTATGAACAGACACATGTATCTGCATCCCTGCCAGTCATGGTGTTGTGATAATATGGTAATATTCTTAGCACATAAACATCTCTCCAAAATATTCTACAACCTATTTTTCATTGTTGCATAGTAGTTCATCGTTTGGGTGATAGGCAGTTTATTTAATTGATTCCCTGTGGTTGGACACGCAGGTCAGTTATGATCTGGTGTAGCATTAGTGACATTGTGGGGACAGCCCTGTAGCTATCCTTGCTGTTTAGTTCTGCAGGATGCGTGATCAGAAGTGAAGTGTAGGTTTTGATCTGTACTGGTGGGTTCCAAGGTGACCGTTCTCGAAAACAGCCGCAGGAAGCCAGGCCTCGTGGAGCCTGTACACGAAAACGTGGCCTCTTCGCCTCTTCGCCTCACTCTTTGGAATAAACGTGCAGTCGGCTCCTTCAGAGTCACCCTTCCGGTGCTGTCACACGGTGGGGGCAGGGTGGGGCAGCTGGTTGCTCAGGACCTGGGAGGACCCTCCCGCCCAGGTACCCTGGTCAGCCCCTGGGACCAAGATGCTACCAAGGAGATTCATGGCACAGCGCTCTGGCTTTGCAGTCTCCAGACCCGGGAGGAGGAGAGGCAGGCAGGGGCCCCAGGAAGCACCTACTGCTGGGACAGTGGGTGCCCTCATTCTTTGGTCTCACAGGCAGGTGGGTCTGGAGGAAATGAGGGGAAGCTGGATGGAGCAGGAGGGAGGCTGTGACCAGAGGAGCTGGCTGACCAGAGAGAAAAGTCTGTCAGGGGACAGCTGCCTACCCTCTGAGAATGGGGACCACCACCCACTCACCAAGCTGAGGGCCTGCCCTGGGATGAGGGGGAGGCTGGGACGAGTCCTGTCCGTGCTACAGGTGGAGAGCAGAGCCTGGAGACAGGAGGGCTGGATGGCAAAGCTCGGAGAGGGGGGTGCCGGAGTCCTGCCTCTGAAGCCCGAGGCAGAGACGGGCTGAGGCCGTGGTGCTGAGGAGCAGGGGGCGCGCCTCCTGGCCCGGCTCCCCAGGCCTCTGCAAGTTGAAACACGAAGGGCTTGGATCAGATAAGGGACTGCAGCCTGCCTTGTCCCCGCAGCCAGAAAGGAGCTTGGACAGAGCAAGTCTCCGCTCCTCTGTCCCTGAAGTCCGGCTCCCCTGCTCTTCCTCCTGGTGCCTTTATGAGCCCTGCTGCCCCTGTGGGCTAATCCCCAGACTTGTCCACAGCCCACTGCCTACCTGCTGCAGTGCGTGCGTGTGTGAACAGTGTGTGTGCATGCATCTGTGCAAGAATGTGTGCGTGTGCGTGCATGCGTCTGTGCATGAATGTGTGTGTGAACATGTGTGTGTGCATGCATCTGTGTGCGTCTGTGCAAGAATGTGTGCGTGTGCGTGCATGCGTCTGTGCATGAATGTGTGTGTGTGCATGTATCTGTGTGCGTCTGTGCAAGAACATGTGCATGTGCGCGCGTGCATCTGTGCATGAATGTGTGCATATGCGTGCATGAATGTGTGTATGTGTGTGTGAACATGTGTGTGCATGTATCTGTGTGCGTCTGTGCAAGAACATGTGCGTGTGCGCGCGTGCATCTGTGCATGAATGTGTGCATGTGCGTGCGTGAATGTGTGTATGTGTGTGGGAACATGTGTGTGTGCATGTATCTGTGTATGCATCTGTGCATGAATGTGTGCATGTGTGCGCGCGTACTTATGCGCGTGGCAGGCCATCTAACAATGGGCAGCCCTTTTCCCTCTGCTCTCCCGATTGTCCCGAGCCAGGTTCTTTCCTGGAAACTCCAGAAAATGAGACTTCACTTCAGAAGACCCCAAAATGTGGCTTCTGACGAAGTGTGTCATCCGCTCTGGGTGAGAGGCGGAGAGAGAGGGGTCAGGTGGGAAAGAGACGGGACAGTGATGGGGAGACCAAGGGAATGCAAGCAGAGAGGGGCCAAGCGTGAGAGGAGGCAGGGAGGGCGACAGCGGCCAGGGCGCTGGAAGAGGCCACGGAGGCGGGAGCTGGGAACCGGCTGGGACGGAGGACGAGCAGGAGCCGTGGGCAGTGGGCAGAGGACAGAGGACAGGAACGGGAGAGGGCGGGAGAGGAAGGTGGACAGGCAGAGGAGGGGAAGGAGAAAAGGAGACAAAGATGCACCGAGGAGGGCAGGAGAGGGAAGGCTCAGGGCAGGAAGATAGGAAGAGAGGGGAGGAAAGAGGAAATGAGACCGAATGGAGGGAAAGGGGCGAATGGGAGGAGAAAGGACAGGCTGGGGACAGGGAGAAGGACTTGGAGAAGGAAAGAGGAAATGTCTGCTAGGCTACAGGTCTGGGCCTGTCATTAGCGGGACCTGACGCGGCCGGCAGGGCTCCGTGCTGTTGGCACAGTGTCCCCGGAGGCCGGGGGCGGGTCTGCCTGCACAGGTGGCCGCCCCTGGGTGGGGCCGCCGGCCAAGCCCTCGGGGGTATAAGTTGGAGGCTGGCCCGCTGAACCTGCAGGGACAGCTCCCCTGAGCAGGTGCCAGGCAGGTGTCTCCGCCAGCCCAGCCCCAGCATGAGCTCCTTCGACCTCCCGGTGCCCTCGCCCCCGCGCTGCAGCCCCCAGTTCCCCAGCATCGGCCAGGAGCCTCCGGAGGTGAACCTCTACTATGAGAATTTCTTCCACCCACAGGGCATGCCCAGCCCTCAGCGGCCCCCGTCCTTCGAGGGCGGTGGCGAGTACGGGGCCACCCCCAACCCCTATCTCTGGCTCAACGGGCAGGCCATGACCCCGCAGCCCTACCTGCCGGGCCCCAGCGCCAGCCCGTTCCTGCCCCAGGCCTACGGGGTGCAGAGGCAGCTGCTGCCCGGCATGTCCGGGATGGGGGGCGGCGACCTGGGCTGGCTGCCCATCCCGTCGCAGGAGGAGCTGATGAAGCTGGTGCGGCCCCCCTACTCCTACTCGGCCCTCATCGCCATGGCCATCCACGGGGCGCCCGACAAGCGCCTCACCCTCAGCCAGATCTACCAGTACGTGGCCGACAACTTCCCCTTCTACAACAAGAGCAAGGCGGGCTGGCAGAACTCCATCCGCCACAACCTGTCGCTCAACGACTGCTTCAAGAAGGTGCCCCGGGACGAGGACGACCCAGGTGAGGCGGGGGCGCGGGGCGGGGGGCAGCGGCTCCGGCGAGCCTCTGGAGCCCCCATGAGGGTCCCTTCGTGCTTGACACCCCGTTCTAGAAAGTTCTGAATACAGCCATCCCCCAAAGCGAGGGGCTGAGGGGGGTCCGCAGGGCCGGAGAACATGGGCTGCGGAGGCAGACGGGTTTCTGTCCCGGCTGGGCCTCTGGCCTGTCAGTGAGCTCGGAGTGGTTAGAGCTCGGAGCCTCAGTTTCCCCATCTGACAGAGACGACGGGACGGTGTCCCCTCCGTGGGCTTGTGGCAGGGCTACGAGGTCGTCCTGCCAGGCTTCGTGCTCACGCCTGCCCGGCGGCCATGGTCACCGAGCGCAGCGCCCAGCCGGCAGCAGGTCCACACTCCGCCGCCTCACGGCCCCGCCCCTCGCGGCCCCGCCCCTCGCGACCCCGCCCCTCGCGACCCCGCCCCCGACGCCCAGCCTGCAGGCCGCTTCCAGGAGACCCATTCTGCAGATAAGGCCAAGCACAGGCGGGGGGACGGGGCCGCCCGTGAGGGGCTGGGCTGGAGTGAGACCTGGACGGAGGTCTCTCTGACACCAGACGGCGCCCCGGCCTTTCTAACGGGGAGTTTCCACAATCCCGGGGTGCAGAGAGGGGTGTGCTGAGTCCTGAGGTCACCACTTTCCAGAATTAAGCGCACTCTGGCTCCATCCCAGGAAAGCAGGGTAGGCTGCCCAGGAACCAGCCCCGCCCACCGTGCGGCTGGCAAGGGCAGGAGTGTGTGTCTGTCCCTTCTCGTGTTTGTCCCTTCCTGTCCATCAGCTGGCCTCCCCTCGGGCCGAGAGGCAGAGGCGGGTGGGCAGAGTCCAGGCCTCACCTGGGGCTCGGGCCCCACAGTCACACCCCTGGCCGTTTCCTCTTCAGTCCGCCTGGGAGGAAGGGCCGGGAGCAGCGCCCCCTTCTCAGACTAGGAAACTGAGGCTCACCTTCCGTCAGCGAGGAGCAAAGCCGGGGCTCACGTCCGTCTTTAAACTCCATGCCCGGGATTTTCGGGGAGCCCCTAATTTTTTCCTGAGTCAGCACTGGGAGCTCCTCTCCCTCTCCAGCCCCCCAGTACTTGAAGGAGCCCTACACTGGGAACATGGTCCCAGCTCGGGCCTCTGTCTGGCTCCCAGCGCCTCGCTGGACGGGCTGACTCCAGGCCTTGGGCTGCAGGCGTGGCCGCGTGGTGGGGGCCTGTGGTCCTGCAGGCATGGCCGCGTGGTGGGGGCCTGTGGTCCTGTGGTCCTGCGGGCGTGGCCGCGTGGTGGGGGCCTGTGGTCCTGCAGGCGTGGCCGCGTGGTGGGGGCCTGTGGTCCTGTGGTCCTGTGGGCGTGGCCGCGTGGTGGGGGCCTGTGGTCCTGCGGGCGTGGCCGCGTGGTGGGGGCCTGTGGTCCTGCGGGCGTGGCCACGTGGTGGGGGCCTGTGGTCCTGCGGGCTTGGGGTTCCCAGTCTCCTGCTTTCTGGGCCCGGCACCTGTGTTCAGTGTGACAGTGAGGAGGGACGGACCCACGCCTTTGTCCCTGCTCACCTCTCCCCTTGTGCTGCAGGCAAAGGGAACTACTGGACCCTGGACCCCAACTGCGAGAAGATGTTCGACAATGGCAACTTCCGCAGGAAGAGGAAGAGGAAAGCGGACGTCGCGTCCAGCGCGGGCTCCTTGGCCCCCGAGAAGACGGACAGCGGGCTCCTGGCGGGCAGCCCCAAGACCGCCGACCCCCAGGACCTCCTGGACAGCACCTCCCCGGGCGCCAGCAGCTCCCCGGAGCAGCGGCCGTCGCCTGCCCCGTGCCTCGGCGGCTTCCTCTCCACCATGACGGCCTACGTGAGCGGGCCGAGCCCCGGGAGCCGGCCTGGGCCCGCGGGACTGAGCCCTGAGCCCGCCGACAAGACGGGGCAGAACGTGGTGAACTTCAACTCCTACACCCCACTCACCAACCTCGGCGGCCACGGGGCCGAGGGCGAGTGGGCCAACCCCATGCCCGCCAACACTCTGGGCTACGGAGGGTCTGTCCTCAACCAGTTCAGCCCTCATTTCTACAACAGCATCAACGCGAACAGCGCCCTCTACCCCAGGGAGGGCACCGAGGTCTAGAACTGCACAGCTCCCGCGCCAGAGGGACGCCCGGGGTCCCCCTGGCCGGCCTCCCTGCCACCCCCCTCTGAACCGCCCAGACAGACGCAGGAGACTCAGCCCGTCGCCCTGTCTCTGGAAGGGCATGCAGACCTGCCTGTCACGCACCTGCACACGCACTCACCAACTCTGCAATGGACAGGCTGTGCCTGGGCGACAGTCGCCATGGCGACCGGTGTTGAGCACTTACTCCAGCGGAGCCCTGCTGGCTCTTGGAAGGCAGAGCACACTCGTTATTGACAGTTTCCTGAGGGTTCCTATGAACTTCCTCAAATCACAGAGGACGGAGCTGGAGTTTGGGGAAGTGAAGTCACTTTTCCAGGGGCATACGGACTAGTGAGGGGCACGGCCAGGAGTCAAGTCCTGTGTGACCCACAGACTTGGGGCCAGCGGAGGCAGGGGTGGAGGAATTGATCGAGCAGCTAAGGGTGGTCGTGGGAGAGCTGATTACGATGAGCAGACCCCCCACTGCCTTCTGGCCGTCCATCGAAATGTAGCACCAGCCCCGGGCATGTCTCATCCTGGTCCACGTCACTCTGTGGCCCCCAACTTACCAGCAGATGCGCCTTTTGCTGCCCCTGCAGGCGGGAAGCCCAGGCCAGGCCCCTGCAGGACAATGCAGCCAGCCTCTCCCCACACCCAGTGACCTCGAGCAGGGCAGGGACAGGAGTGGTGTCCCCCAAGCCCCCCGCCCGATGCTGCCCGCCTGCCACCCCTGGTAAAGACCAGCTTCTTCTGTGCAGGTCATGGACCAGTGAGCTGCAGGTGGCCGAGTCTTCCAAGAGAAACGCGGCCGAATCCGCACGCCTCCAGGGAGGGGCCGGCCCCCGGGTTTTCTTACTTTTGTATATACGTTACATGCCTATGATCTTTCGTCTCGGCACACCCTGGGAAGTGATTTGTGTTTTCTTATTTTCTTTTTAATTAAAACAAACAAACAGAAAACTGCATGTCGGTTCCTTGTGCGCTTCCCTGTGCCCCGGCTGCTGTCCGCTCAGCGCGGCCCGGGCAGCGCAGCCAGGGCGTAGGAGAGCAGGCAGAGAAAGGATGGCTACAGGGCCCGGTCCCTTCTTCGCACTGGTGTGGAGACAAGACAGAGGCCCCCAGCGAAAAGCAGGGAGCTTGCGGGGATGGGGTAGGTGTGTGGAAGGAGCCCCTCTACGCTGAGCACAAGCTATGGGCTGGGCATCAGTCCTCAGTACTGCGCTGTGATCGCGTAACCCTCCTGCAACCCCTTGACGGGGCGGGGTGCCCATTACACCGACGGGAAAACTGAGGGTCAGGGTGGTGGAGCAGTCTGCCCAAAGTCCCAGCCAGCTTTTACCTGGGTCTTCAGACTTGCACCTCATCACGTGCAGCCTCAGACACGGTGAACGCCGCGGCGATGCCAACGGTCCTGTTGGCTGCAGTTCACTGAGGGCTGTGGGCAGGCACCGGGCCAGGTGTCGGGCAGAGGGAGCTCTTTTGTGCTCACAACAGCCCACGAGTGTGTGCCCGGGTGATTCACAGGTGCCTGGCACGGTGCTTGCTGAGAATTGTGTGAAAGCTGGAGGTCTAGTTGGAGTCCCTTCCTCGGATGTGCACGCAGAGGACTCAAGCCCGGGTCCCCTGACCCCCCGCACAGGCCATGCAGGTGGCCCCCTCCGGCTCCGAGGGCTCTCTTTTCCCAGAGCACTGGAGGCAAGGAGCACCGGAGGCGAGGTGGTAACAGTAACAATGATACGGGAGCGGATCTCACTGCAGTTTAGCGTGTGCCAGGCACTGTGCTAGGACTTGACCTGCCTGAGTGCATTTATCAAATCCTCAAAACCATCCAATGCAATCAACACTTTGTGTCCATTTTATAGGAGAGAAAACTGAGGCCTGGAGAGAGAGATTCTGCAGCTTGATGAAGGAAACACAGCCAGGAATCAAACACAGATTCATACATGCCTCGGCTAAAACTCGGACCCACTGCACCGAGCACTGGGGAGACCAGGGCTGACACAAGAGACCAAAATCGGGAACACTGGGAAGAGAAAACACAGGTCTCCCTGGAGCCCCTCAGATTCTTTCTTGGGACATCCCTTGCCACACGGAGATGGGTTCTCCTGGCCATAGAGGTGGCTGTGGGTGCTGAGGGAGGGCCGGGGGGGGACACAGTGTGAGACCGTAACAAGCCTTAGAAACGTACTAGGCTGACACCCTGCTGCACAGAAAGGAAACCTGAGTCTGGGGGAGGAGGGGACACCACAAATGTCACCAGGAAGATGAGGTTACAGGCAGAGTTCAAATGCAGGTCCCTGAAGCCCAGACCAGGGTATTTTTTGTCACACTAGATCCCAGTGCCACCAAATTTGCCCAAATTGACCCTGCAGTCCCACCGTCTCCATCGGTCATGCCGCTGCCTGCTCCTCAAACCCCCTCCTTGGCCACAGGAGGCCTTCCATGGGGGCAGGCTGGGCAAGGGACAGCGTGCAAGGGGTCCCGGAACGAGACCAGCCTCCCCCGGAGGGAGGTGGCCCTTTAGAACGGAGGTCCACTGCGCTCCAGCCTCCCTTCCTCTGTGTGGGCACAGCAGTGAGAGGGACGTGGGCAGCGACCTAACAACACAGCGACCTGGCAGCTGCTGCCGGTGACGCATGGGGGTTCCTGGTAGGAGCACCGGGAGCTCCCGGAAAGGGAGGTGCGAGAGGCGCCGGTCACACTGCTGGAGGAGGGGCCCTAGCTCAAGGAGGGTCTCCCTGGGCTGGGCTGGCCCGTCTTGTGCTTCTCTTCCTCCGAGAAGACATGAGGGGGAGGGCAGGAGGGAGGCACGGCGGCGAGAGAACTGGTTGTCCACCAGGAGTCAGTTCTGTGTGCAGTGCTGTGGATGGACATGGCATCTATTAGCCTCCGACTGTCTGGCATTGCATTGAAGGCATGATCCCCAGCGCCAATGAAGGGTCAAAGAAGAGGGCTTCCTGTGTGATGGGGAGCCCAGGAAGGCTGCCTGGAGGAGGCGAGGCTGGAGCCAAAGGACAGTAGAAGTCAACGGATGCAAAGAGGTCTCCAAACCAGTAGTTGACACACAAACCCTCAAACCACCTGCCTTCAAGCCCCCAACCCTGGATCGGAGTGTTGAAATGACCAAGTTCTATAGTGGGGGGAGAAGGGACAGGGAGTCTGTCTCAAAGCAGAATATACATGTCAAATCTATGGCCTTCTTAAGAGAAAAGCCCGCAGGACCTGGTCACTGAAGCGACACGGGATGGGGTGGCGGCGAGGGAGAGGTGGGACTCGAGAACTCACCGAACCCCTGGCCTAGGAGGCCAAGGTCCCCCAGCACCTCCTCCCAGGTGTCCCTGCTGCTGACATGGAGAGGATGTTGTAAAGGCCAATTACACAACCGAAGAGGAAATCCAAAGGCAGGCAAGGGGTAATAGAAAGGACTGCGGGGCTGACAGGGTGATTCATTATTGTTCTTTAAGGGAAGAAGAAGAAGAAAGAATTGATCCTGGATGAAGAAATTGGGCTTGGCTGAGCCCAGGGCTGTGGGAGCCAGCCTGCTCCAGAAGTCCTTGAGGGCATGCGGTCGAGGGGTGAGGGAAAAAGGGGGAGGGAGGGGCTGCAAATCCTTAAAGTGACATTTGTCTGAGACTGAGGTAGGAGGACCTACAGGGCTGGGCTTCACTGCTGGGAGGGAGGAGGACACTGGCATCGCTCAGCGCTGTGCCTCCTCGCCAACCTTCACTGGAGGGAGCTCAGCGCGAGCCCCCCTTCAGCAGCTGAGAAAAGGTGACCTGGAGAAATGGAGCGGCCGGGGAAGGAAGAGCAGGCAGAAAGAGGTGGGCGCCAGCTCCAGGTTCCAGGTTCGACTCCCAGGGCAATCCCGTCCCCGTGAGCCACCTCGGTCCTGGGGGTTGCAATGTGTGCCCAATAGAATCTCCCAGTGATCTGGCCACCAGCACGATGTTTGATAAATATTTATATAATTTTCCATTGGTTCTGTATCCGCTGATCCATAAGCGGCCAGGATTGATTAAGTTTCTCCTATGGGGTGTCCGAGCAGGGGACAGGGAAACCGACGAGCCCCTGATGAGTCAGAGAGGCATCCTGCGTATATCAAGGGTGATACTGGATGTGCCAGGAGGGGAGAAGACAGATGTCCAGGAGGCTGGGACAACAGACTCGTTTTAATAGGAATTCCCATTAAATGTTCATGCCCCACTAAGGACATTCAAGCCCACATTTGACTCTCGAGGATTTTGGGGGGGTTAACATTTCATCAAATCAGTTGCAAGTGTTCCTCTGTGACTGCTGATCGGTGATGGATTCTAGGTAGTCCATATTAGAAAGTATCTTCTCATGCAGGAGGGCACATGGTGGCATATCTGGGATTTGCAGCACACAAAGCAGCAGTGCAGAGCTGTGAGCAGCCCCAGCTACTCAGCTCTGCTAAGCTCTGCACAGCTGTGCACAGCTCTGCTCAGCTTTGCTCAGCACTACACTGCTCTGCTCAGCTTTGCTCAGCTCTGCACAGCTCCGCTCAGCTCTGCTCAGCTCTGCACAGCTCCGCTCAGCACTGCACAGCTCTGCACAGCTCCGCTCAGCTTTGCTCAGCACTTCACTGCTCTGCTCAGCTCTGCTCAGCACTGCACAGCTCCGCTCAGCTCTGCTCAGCTCTGCTCAGCACTGCACTGCTTTGCTCAGCACTGCACAGCTCCGCTCAGCTCTGTTCAGCTCCGCTCAGCTCCGTTCAGCTCTGCACAGCTCCGCTCAGCTCTGCTCAGCTCTGCTCAGCTCTGCACAGCTCTGCTCAGTACTGCACTGCTCAGCTTTGCTCAGCTCTGCACAGCTCTGCTCAGCTCTGCACTGCTCTGCTCAGCTCTGCACAGCTCTGCTCAGCTCTGCTCAGCTCTGCACAGCTCTGCTCAGTACTGCACTGCTCAGCTCTGCACAGCTCTGCACTGCTCTGCTCAGCTCTGCACAGCTCTGCTCAG